ATCAAGAGAGCAAAACAAAATGTTAAGTGCTTTGTCATTTAAGGTCAATTTCTTTTCATCTTCAGTCATATAATGTTCTTCTTCTTTGGGAAGAACCATTGAGTCGTTCATGGGAACGAAGTTCCCTTGCTCAACTATTTTCCACAAGTTAGAGTCTATATATCTAATGAGGAGTCTCATTCTAATTCAACATTGTGTGTAGTTTGTACTACAAAACAATGGGGGTCTAGTGGTTCAACAACCCTCACCAAACAATGGTGTAGATGAACTAGCCATCTAGATCGATTGACTCTTGAAACTGTTAGGTTTTCAACACAAGAGCCCAAGCTTTGAAACCAATTATTAAACCTTAAATATGGCTAATATTCTTAGGGGGTAAATAGGAATCAATAAAAGTATTCGTGGAATGAAACTTATCAATAAAAGTTAAAGCAAATAATGAGCTTATCAAAACAAGGTTCAATGACTAATCTCAATAACCAAAGTATGATAGAGTTAAAGTTAATGCAAATGAGCAATAAATGAACTCAAAAGAGAACAATAAATGCATTCAACTTGTAGGCAATAAATATGAACAATGAATGCATGAACAGGTGAAATAAATTATATTCAACCAATAACTATGTAATGAATGATAAAGAGTTGAGAGAGAAAGAAATGCTCATCAAGGATTTATAGTGGTTCGAAGCTATATCCACAAGCCTCCTACATCCACTTCTTCAAGGAAACCTTCTTGAAGTTCCACTAATTTTGGATTTCACCAATACAATAGTTTTCACAAGGATTTTCACTTCACACACTTAGATTTACAGTAATGAACCTAGTTTTATAGGATTTCGCCACTAAGGAATGAATCAAAGTTGTTTGTGAATGATTGCCTCTTCAACAATAAGAACAAGTGAACTCTCAAAGGTTTACAAAATCAGTACAAGTAAGAGTGTTTGATTTGGATCTTGAGCTCTAGGGATTATATGAGAATGTATTCTGATTTAGTATGACTCTTCTCTCTCTCTTGCCTTAAAAACGTTGAGCTTTTATAACCCCAAAAAGATTAGCCACTATATTATTTAATGCAGTTCTGATAAATTCTACATAACCCAAAGGAACAGTCATCCCATAATAGCGAACAGTCGTTCTTGATACAACGGTCATTTTTCTCAGATCTAGGTTAACCAAAATAGTCATTTCACCATGTCATATGATCATGCAAGGACACTGAATGGTCATTTCACCACACGGAACAATTATGTCCAAATGCTCTTCCAAATCTTCTTAAATATTTAGAGGCGTAAATGACCTCTTGGAACTATGTCATGCAAAACTCTTCAAATATGAATGGTCATTCCACCATAAGGAACAATCGTTCCAATTTTGAACCTTGAGTTTTGTCTTTGACCTTTGAGACGAAGTCAAGAGCACAAAGCAATCTAGATTTAAGATATCTTAACTTTTTTACTTGAGTGCACGGTTGTGCAAGTTGGTGTGCAAGTGTAGTTTGGTCGTGTGAGTTCCACTCAACTTGGCAGAATGTCTAATGACCAAGGGGAATGATGTCGTGCGACATTGCACGACAACCTTCTCTTATGGCATGGCTATGCCCTACTTGTAAAAGCAGAAATTTTCTTATGCACGGTCTTACCACCTAATAAACCTGTTTTTGGCTTGGTTATGACTTATGTCATACCTTAGCATGTTATGGTTAATGTTCAATCAATGTTTTGGATAGTTTTGACACATCAAAACACATGAGAGGTCAACACAATTGCCTTTTATCCTTAGGAAATTTACATAGGACCCATGTACTATTCTTGTCCAGTGACTGCATCTCCTCATTCATCTCAAGCTCCCATAAATTTGCATCTTCCATGCCTCTTGCTTTATTTACATTCCTAGGTTCATCGCCAGTCACATTCAATGCATGCAATCCACTCAAGGCACTTAGAGAGTAACGAACTGGTGCCGTTCTAACCCTTGTAGATCTCCTCAAAGTTGGTGGCACCACAACTTCATCATCAATCATCATTTGAACCATCCAAAGAGCCCTCATCGGCCACATTATCAACTTGATCTGTGTGATCAGATTCAGTATACTCTAAGTTATCAGTCTTTGCAGCAACATTAGGAATTTCCTCCTCCTCTTACTCCACTGTAGTCACATCAAATTGAACTTTACTTGACTGTTTAAGATCTTTAGAAGCTCTCACACGTTGTTTTACCTCTCTAAAGATTACATATCTGTTGTAGATAATACTTCTATTCATAGGATTCCACAACTTGTAACCATTGATGCCATCCTTGAACCCCACAAACTTGCATTTCTCAGACTTACTGTCAAGCTTGCTTCTCTTTTCCTTTGGCACATGCACATACACATCACAACCAAAAACCCAAATAAATGACAGATTAGGCTTCTTACCATACAAAGCTTCATAAGGCATCATGTCTTTAACTGAAGAAGTGGGAGACCGATTCTTCAAATAACAAGCCATTGTAGTAGCTTCAACTAAATTTAGACCCCAAATCCATTGTATTCAGCATACACCTTGCCTTTTCTAATAGTGATCGATTGAGATGTTCAGACACTCCATTTTGCTGAGGCATGTAAATTGTAGTTTTCTACCTTGCAATTCCATGTGTCACACAAAACTACTCAAACTTACCAAAGCAAAACTCACCACCATTATCAGTACACAAAGCCTTAATCTTCTTGTCGAACTAATTCACAACTAATATTGCTTTAAATTCTTTAAATTTCTCAAAAGCTTTAAGATACATAATACCTAGATTTACCAACTGATTCAACTGGAGTAGGCCCAAATACGTCGCTGTGAATTAACCCCAAAATTTCTATTGCTCTTGTGCCTATCGACTGAAAACTGACTCAATTCTGCTTGCCTTGTAAACACTCCTCAAACCCAAAACTCATTGAACAGTTAGGAATCCCTTCAAACATTTCTGAGTAACCAAAGTAGACAAAGCCGTCTCCCCAATGGCCCATTTGCTGATGCCACAACGTTGTAGAATCAATTTCTTTTTTAGCCTCCTTTTTCGAAACATAACCACCCAAAGAAGAATTTTTCATAACTAATGCCAGCTGTTTGTACAGTGTACCATGTGGAACTCCTCGTGCAATAACCATAGATTCTCGAGTCATTTTGCAAGATGTTCTGTCACAACTAAATACTATACATACATCAGCCATTGTTCCAACAGAGAGCAAATTTCTACTCATACCAGGGATGTGCATCACTTCAGGGAGCGTCTTCACTGAACCATCATGCAATTTTAGCCTGATTTTCCCGTGGCCAATAATCTTCACAACAGTATCATCTCCTAACAAAATGTTACCTCCATTGTATGTCCTATACTTACAAAACCATTCTTTGTGAGGTGTCATATGGAATGACGCATCAGTATCAACTTACCAGATTGCTTGGTTTGATCCAGCCATACACGCTACAGCCACATACATGTCTCTATCTGATTCTCGTTTGTACGAGGTTTCAACATCGATCTTTCCCTTTTATAGGTTTATTTTTGTAGTCCTTCTTTAGGTGCCCAAAATCCTAACATCTCCAGCATTTAAACTTACCTTTATCCTTGCTCTTCAACCGACCTTGCGACTTTCCCCTATTGCCAGATTTATTAGAATTTCTATCAAAGTTTCATCCCCTAGCTGTTAAAACATCCCTAGACGAACCCTCTAAACCTATTTGCTGCATATCCCCTACTAGCAATGTAAAACAAACAGTTTCCCACAACATCTCTATCGCTCTTACACCACTAATCACAACAATCAAGTTGTCCCCTGTATCCAACAATGAGCATAGTAATGTAACCACTTTCTCACCTTCAATGAGTTGTACATCCATAGCTAGTAGTTGATTCACAAAGTATTAAAATCATCCAGATGTGCAGCAAAAGAATCCTCATCATGCATAAGGAGATTGTAGAGTTTCTTGCGACAGAACAACACATTCACCAAAGACTTACTTAGATATAGATTTTCTAACTTCTGCCATAAACCCTTAGTCATATCCTGATCCATCACATTCATTAGAATTGAGTCCTTAAGGTAGATGTGGATCAAACCTCTGGCTTTCCAATCCATCTTGTCCCATTCTGCAATTGTGGCATGATAAGCCATTGATAATTCTCCTCCAGATGTTGTTGCAGGTACAGACCCAAGCGTAGTTGACGTTGTGGTTTTAGACGTTTCAATCGTTGTAACAACAACTATCCCGACTATCAGCCTATCATTCACAATTGCACCCCACACACCCCTATCAACAAGTAGATCTTCCATCTGTAATTTCCAAAGCTCGAAGCGTTTGTCGTTGAACTTCTTAATTTCAACCTTTGATCCTGTCATCTCTAAATCACAATCTAACTAACCTAAAGGCTTTGATTCCAACTGAACAAATATAGAGATATGAAAACCAAAATAACAAGAAACACACAAATCACAAACAGTAAAGAGAAAGAATAAACGCTTGCGATTTTACCTTGGTTCACCTAATTACTAGGCTACGTCTAACTAGGTCAATATTATTGCAATACTGCCTCACCTCATTTACAATGAATGTAACTTGCCCTATTGTTTGCTATCACTCATTACAAGAGAAAATTATAGTTATATATTAGGTTTAAAAGACTAAAACCTAGTATTACAAAGACTTCTATTCCTAAGCCCAAACCCAATAAAAAATTAATAACTTAAAAAAATCTTTCATGAATGGACAACAGGACCCTTGAACGCGTTTGTGTGGCCCATTAATGCTGAAGTGGTTGACAATTTCAATAGTTTGTGCATAGGGGGCAAAGCCAGAATATTTTTTTTGGGGGAGACTGAAGTGCCATCTTCAATGATAAATGGGTTTAGTTAGGGGCGGATCCAGAAATTTCTATTAGGGCGGGCCAAATAAAAACTAATTATATATAACATTCATATTCTGTTTTTCCAGTCAATATTGTCACAAAAACAAAAAAAATTACATTTACTATTGTCCTCGACGGGGCTTCATATTGAGGAATCGTTGCATGACCATCTCCTTATCAACACTGTCAAACATATCTTTCTCAACATATGGAATTAGGCTATCATTCAAGAATTGATCTCCCATCCAATTGCGTAAATGAGTCTTCACAATTTTCATAGCAGAAAATGCCCTTTCTACACTTGCAGTTGCAACTAGTAAGGTTAAAGCCAATGTGATGAGCAAATATACCAATGAGTAAATAAGATGCTTCTTCTTCTCAACCATTTTCTGAGCAAGACTAGTAATATCATTTAGTTCTGAAAAATCACTATTTGAGCGCATATCATTAATGTAATTATCAAGTTGAAGTTCAAATGCCATAAGATCAATAGAAGAAAATTCAAGTGGATAAAATTGAGCAAAACGAACTAATTTTCCCTTATCAAATGCTTGAAAGCAATCACTTGGATTTAGAGAGGCCATGCAAATAAGTAATTTTGTATTACCTTCATTAAAACGACTGTTAAGCTCTGATAGTTGCAAATCTATTATGGCATAGAACAACTCAACACGATAATGAAATAAATTTGTCATCTCTTGAACATTACGTCACGACCTCCCTCGTGCAACAAATTTCTCTTGCATATTTGGTACATCCATATTATGAGTAATGCAAAAATGAGAAACTTCATCAAGTAGATATCCCATCCATTATTTCTTATCAACGATAATCTTCTTTTCGACAAGTGAACCAAATACAAAGCATTTATTATATCTTGATCCTTCCTTTGCAATGCTTGTGAAAGTTCAAATGTGATTCCCAAAATGTTTTTCATCATGTGCAGGTTAAAAGCAAAATCAAAAGAAGTCATATAATCCACCAAATCACTTGCTTAATTTTCAGTAAGCTCCTCAAGCACTTCAATAACAGATGAAAACAAATTAATCAAGCTCAATAAAGTCCCATAATGTGAGCCCCACCGTGTTTCCCCTGGTCGCTAAAGACTAGTATCTTGATTAAGACCTTGCCTTGTTGAAAGCTCACCACTTTCAATAGCTTTTTTCACTTTCAAAGCTTGTTTCTCATTAAGAAGATCCCTACATCTAGGTGACCATCCAACAATATTTATCACACAAGAAACTTTCAAAAAAAGTCTCTCAATATTTGTATCCTTTTTTGCCACAGCTACAAGTGCTAGTTGAAGTTGGTGAGCAAAACAATGAACATAGAAGGCATATTCATTATCTTTCAATATAAGTGCTTTTAACCCATTAAACTGACCTCGCATATTACTCGCACCATCATAACCTTGTCCATGTAATCTTGATATGCTCAAATTGTATTTAGAGAACAATGTTTTGATTCCCATCTTTAGTGTCAAAGCAGTCGTATCTGTGACATGCATAATGCTCAATAGACACTCAACAACACATCCTCTTTTATTTACATAACGTAAGATAATTGCCATCTGCTCTTTGTTGGATCCATCACGAGCTTCCTCAACTAGTATAGAAAAAAAAACATCTCCAAGATCACTAATTAGTTTGTTGATGGTTTCAACTGCAAATGCATTGATTATATCTTTTTGGATACTAGGAGCAATCAATTTGTCATGTCCAGGAGCATTCTCCGATGCTACTAATCTATATTCTTCATTTTGCTCAGCTGTATAGTGTAAAAGTTCAAGAAAGTTTCCCCGATTCATTGAATTAACAGACTCATCATGGCCATGAAAAGGCAATCCTTGCTAAAGAAGAAACCGACTAGCAGAAATTGATCCTTTCAATTGAATACGATAATCTTCTCGCTGTTGGTCAGATTTTTTATTAATAATTGTACTTACATGCTGCTTTTGGTTCAGCAAAGCTTAACAATTTTTCACAGCTTGGTTATGATAGCTGTTATGACCTCCAATATGATATTTAAAATTTTCAAGTCTCTTCCAATTGCGAAACCCATCAAGAACAAAAGAATCACCACCACTTTGCTCACCTTTATCTGGTTTGAAAAGATAACAACAAAAACAATATGCAGCATCATTTTTAACACTATATTCCAACCAGTAAGAATATTTATCAAACCAAGAACATTGGAAACTCCGTTCATGATCACCAGATTTTGATTTGGGAAACTTATGGCTGCGAGGTTGACAAGGACCATTTTGTAGATAACACATTCTAACTTGGTCTCGAACATTAGGATGATAAAACGTAATTCTTGGTCGAAAGCCAGGATAAGAAGGAAGATTTTCCAAGTCAACTTCGAAGCAATTTTTCTTTAAAAAGGTTGGTTTTCATGATCATTGACACTAGAGCAAAGTTGAGATGTCTCAGCAATTGACTTTCTTTTAAAATATTTTTTCATATCTAAATACAAAGAAATAAAATTATATAAATACAAAGAAATTAATTATCACACAAATTGAATTCTATAATAACAATAGAAATTCTAAATTTTCCAACGTAAAGTTTTTTAATCATCAACTTAAAGTCTTAAAGACTTAAAAAATATAAAAATAAAACCCTCCTTGATTCTATCTATATTTTTATTTCTATTATCTATATATTATTTTTCTTCCAAATTTTGGGACCACAAAACAATCATTTACCTATCACAAAATATTGGAATCTAAAAACTTTCCATTTTTTCTTAAAAGCTTTCTCAATAAAAAATTCAATGCACAATGCTATTATACTAATACACACAAATAACAAAAAAGCATTATACTCAAAGAAAAAAGTACTCACTAGAGAGAAAATAATTGATAAAATTTGGTTTAAGAAGAATTAGGGAGAGCACCAGTCCAGCAGAGGAGTTGTGGATGATGCAAGCGACCACCAGTCTGACTTACTGAGGGTTTGCAACTTGCAACTGCAAAGGAAATTCTATTTTTACACGTTTTGTTAAAAAATTGAAGGTGGATCGTGGGCAAGTTTTTTAGTATTAAAAGGGAGAGTGGGCCAAAGACTTTTAGTTCTAAAATTGAGAGTGGGCCATAATTTTTTAATATTTGACAACAAAAATTAAGGCTGGGCCAAAGACAAACTAAATAGAATAATGTATTCAATTTAAAAAAAAAAAAAAAAAAATGAGGGTGGGCACATTGGATCCGAACCTGGGTTTAGTGTAAGTTCATTAAAGGAGGTGGCCAAAAGTAAAAAGTGAATATTCAAAGGTCAAAATGATACATTTCTAAATAATATTCAAAAAAATTTGTAGTGAGCAGTGGCCATGGCCAACACATAGCTAGGCCACTGTTTGCATATCAAGACCATATTTAATGACTTAGTGTTAGTCATCTCATTGTTTTGAATACAGCTCTTTAGCTTTTATTATTTATTTAGTCTTCTGATCCTCACGGGTTCCTTCAACGAAGTATTTTAAAAAAATTTCCGCAAGGAATTAGACAGAAATTTCAGAAATCGATTCAGTCAAATATGGGGGAGCACACTGTAATTATAGAGAGGGCATCTTCTTCACCGCTTCAGGGTAAGTAGCAGAACATTATTACAGCTTTCGTGTAAGTAGCAGAATATCTAGTATGATCAAATAAATTTTCTGCTTGTTTCTTTTATGGCAGGAGGACTCAAACAATACCTGCCACTGTATAAAGCTATACTGAAACGCAACTTGGAATATGTAAAACGGCTATGTGAACTGGATAAACGAGCGTTAGAAGCCAGGATCACGGTGAACTTGGACACAGCTCTTCATGTAGCAGTCGGAACAGGCAAGGTGAATCATATTGTGAAGTATCTATTGACAAAGATGTCAAAAGATCAACTAAAACTGAAAAATAAAGATGGCAACACGGTTCTCTCTATTGCTGCGATTGTTGGCAACGTTAAAGCGGCCAGGGAGATAGTGAAGATACAGCCAGAGTTAAATAATGTTGCAAATGATTGTGAGATAGTACCTTTGATTGAAGCTGCTCGAAATGGCCACAAGGAGATGATTAAATATTTAATGCAATTCAACAGAGATATATTTAAGTCTGGCGGGGAATGTGATTCTATACATGGTGTTTCTTTCGTGAATTTGCTTATAGACGCTGCATTTTATGGTAAGTTAATGAAAATTCTCCAATGCGGACGTTCTTAAATTTTTCACTTCGCTCATTACGTTCACCTTTGATCCATACAGTCAAAATTTCAGGATATCCGCATTGGAGAATAACTCGGTAAATTAATTAATTAAGTTTCATGACCATGTTCTTCATGTTGAAATAAAACTAGTTCTGAATTCTGTGCATTCGTTATGCCTCAGACTTGGCACTAGAATGGGTTAAAGATAATCGAAGTTTAGCTACAACGGAGCTAGACACTGGTGAGACTCTTTTGAGTGCGATGGCAAGAAAGCCGTCAGCATTTCCAAGTGGAAGAATGGTAGACATTTGGCAACATATCAACATTATTGACTGTGAGTATAAAGAGTTTATAAGATGTTCCTGATCTTCAACTTCCAATACTTTTCAGGATAGTTATGTCATTGTTGAGTTTGTTCAATTTGCAGTATATGCAATCTTGGTAACGGAAAAGGTAAACACAGCACGGATATATAACAAAGTACGTGAACTTGTCGAACTCTTGTGCAAGGAAATTACGACAGACTATGAAAGAGCTTCCTCAATGCTAAAACGGCCATTCCTTTTAGCGGCGGAATCGGGGGTTCACGAAGTTGTGAAAGTGATTATAGACGTGTTTCCTGATGCAATCTGGTTTGTAGATGCAGAAAATCGTAATGCATTGCAGTTGGCAGTCATGAACCGTCGCGAGAAAGTATTCAACCTCATATATGAAATGAGCGATTATACACATCTGCTATTGATGTCTAAAGATAATTTTGGGAACAATGTCTTGCACTTGGCTGGAAAATTAGCACCACAAAATCAATTCTGTGGTGCAGCACTACAGACGCAGCATGAGTTACAGTGGTTTAAGGTAACTCTGCTCTCTTGCGGACATCGACATCTTTTTAACTGGTGATAGCTAACACTAAAGGACATAACTTTAGACATAATTTTTATTTTTTATTTTTTTCATTGCATATATAGATGTTCACAATTTTAGTTTTGCGGTTAAGATATCTTATTGATCTTTTACAGGGAATAGAGAAAATTGTACAGCCTGCCTATAAGAAGGATAAAAATTATGAAGAAAAAACTCCAGCAATGGTTTTTACCGAGGAGCATGAGGAGCTTGTTAAAGAAGGTCAGAAATGGATGAAGGATGCAGCATCCTCCTGCACAGTAGCAGCTGCACTGATTGCCACAATTGTATTTGCAGCAGCAATCACAGTACCTGGTGGAACCGACGATGATGGCCGGCCAATTTTGTCCAATGAAAACAGTTTCGGCATATTTTATAATACAAATTCATTCTCTCTATACACATCAATTGTGTCCATACTTATTTTCTTGTCCGTTCTCACTTCACGCTTTAACGAAGCTGATTTTCTTTTTGTCTTGCCGACGAGGTTTGGTTACGGTCTTTTTATGCTTCTCTGCTCTCTAGTATCGATGATGATAACCTCTGCTATGACCGCTTCTCTGATGATTTCTGTGAGAAGGGGAGCAGGCATTACTTTAGTGGCTATAGTGATTGCTTTTTGTGCACAGATGTTTACACATACGCAATTTCCTCTCCTGATGGAACTGATGTTCTTCACTCGAGGCCCCAGCATCTACCGCAATAAATGCACGCATCTCTATAGGGATTTAAATTAGTGTCCTTCTGGCTATTGTAATTCACCAAGTATGACCAGCATATTCTCTATGTACTAATTTGATGTGATTCTGAGTACTCAGATATTATTCTAGTTCGATATCAATTATGTTATTTCCGATGTTTCTTTGGTACTACCTAATTATCAAAGTGGGGATGTAAGGTCCCAAATGTGGTTTGATTTGATTTAAATGAAGAGGAAATACTTCCAAATAAAGACCAGAACAACCAAAGAAAACATGAGAAACAGGGGAATTACAGAGTAAAAAATAGAGGAAAACAGAGGAAGAAAAACGTAGTAGACATTATTCAATAAAATGCTAAATCTAAGCAATTGGCAGTGGGCAACAGTGATGTGGTAGCAGTGGTGGCTTTGCCTAATTGTAATACTTCTTGTTTCAATTAATTCTTACTAATTTTATAACAATAGTTTTTAACGACAGATGTTAATATATAATTGGATTGTGGTACCACCTCAATCTCAGGCAGTATCACACTTGTATTCTAGATTTTTTTTTTCATTAATAAAGGTTACAACATCTTGTATGTATAGTTGACAGTATATACTACTGTGAATAAAAGAAAAAAAAAAATCTGTTTTATTAGGAATGAATAAAATATAAAAAAAAAGGAAAAAATGGAATGTTTTAAATTTTTTATATTGTTCACTCGGATTTTAGCTTTGATGATTTTTCGTATTTATAATTGTGATGGGTGACATACTTAGATAATGGGCTAACATTGTCTATATTTTTTTTACTTTTTTTATATTTTATTCATTTCTAATAACATGTGAACAGATAACTGGGTATTATAGAATTGTTTATTAAAAAGTTTTACCTAACTAGACTAAACTGTTTGCAATTAGGGGTGAGCACGGGTAGTTTGTAGAACCGGAACCTAGAGTAAGAACCGGAATCGAAACCCCCTCAAGTACCAAGAATTATGCAAAAGCCCCTATCACTGTCAGATGTCAGAAATGTTCCATTTCTTTAGACAGATAGAGGCAAAAAAACCATAATAGTTTTTTGTTTAAAATTAAATAATTAATAAAGATCCAAAAACTTAAAAAAAAATCTCTTCAAAATTAAAAAACCAAAATCTAACCCTAAACACGCCATTGTCCACCACACCCAAAAGCTAGCTACCCCCTCCACCCAGGCTTGGGGTTCAAGTTTCTAAGTTTGGTTGGTGGTAGGATATTATCGGCAGGGCATCAAGGTCATTATATCTGTTGAAACTAACGAAATTGACAGATAATAGAGGGTTTTTCATCATTTCTGGTACTTGAGGGGTTTTTAGACATTTGAACATATCTCGGGGGTTTAAATAATCCTTAATAAATATACTCCAAACCGAAGGGTGAGCGATTCCAGATATCTTGCATTTTTCGAGGGAACCGGAACCACACAGTACAGGTTCCTAAAAAAGTATCTAGAACCAGAACCGCACAGTGCAGATTCTTAAATTCAAGGAACTAGAACCCAAAATACAGATTCCTGTTCCTTTCCTAGGTATCCTGTAAAAAATCAATTACCCCTTATTAGTTTAAAAATGACAAAAATACTTTAAAAGTTTACAAATATACCCTTAACAAATTTTGATTACTCATTCATTTATGTCCAATGTGACTTATAAATCCTATAATCTCTAGGCGACACTTGAATTCAATCAATTCATCACAATTCACATAAAATTTCTCAATCAAAACCAAAACACAAACAATTAATTAAACAATCATACTATAAATCTATAATTTAATATTATAATTAATTAAATTTCTAATCATTTAATTAAGTATTGTACTAATGTTTATAATGGAATATTATAATTAATTAAGTAATCATACTATAAATCTATAATGTAATGCTATAATAATTAAATTTTTAATCATTTAATTAAGTGATGTACTAATGTAGTAAATTACTAATGTTTATAGTGTAATGTTATAAATTTAAAATTAATTAAGTAATCATTTAACTATATAATGTTATAATTAATTAAGTGATTATAATATGATGTAATGTTATAATTTATTAAGTAATTATTTAATTATAATGTAACATTTTTATTAATTAAATTTCTAATCATTTAATTAAGTATTGTATTAATGTTTATAATAAAATGTTATAATTAATTAAATAATCATTTAATTAAGTATGGTGCTAATATAGGAAATTACTAATATTTATAATATAATGTCATAATTAATTAAATAATTATTTAATTATATAATGTTATAATTAATTACGTGATCAAACTATAATGTAATGTTATAATGAATTAAATAATTATTTAATTAAGCAATCATTTGTTTATAACGTAATATTATAATTAATTAAATAATCATACTATAAATTTATAATGTAATGTTATAATTAATTATGTGATCATATTATAATGTAATGTTATAATTATTAAATAATTATACTATAAATCTATAATGTAATGTTATAATTAATTAAATTTCTAATTATTTAATTAAGTAATGTACTAAATTACTAGTGTAATGTTATAAACTTATAATTAATTAAGTAATCATTTAACTATAATGTAATGATATACTTAGGACTTGATAATTGAAGTAAATAACTAAATATTATATTATTATTCAATCAAATATACTATTTTATTAAAAAATAATTCTTTAATAACATTAAAACACTTTTAATTGGTCCTAATACCAATTATACACTTAATTAATCAAAACTTTAATCTTAATATATTATAATATATTAAAGTTTTGTATATGGTGTAGTTTATATGTAATAAGTATAATTGTATATTTATTTAATTAGGTTATTGTAAAAATTTAACTTTTCCATTTTAAATTTTTTATATGTAAAATTACAAGAAACCCTCCATTCTTCATAGATATTTTGATTTCAGCCCAAGTTCCAAAACAAGGTACCAGCTGCAGGTTCCAAGTCGGGTACCCACTGTAGGTTCCTTTTTCCAGGTTTCGGTTCCAAAAAAATGGAACCAGAACCTACCCGCATAGTATCGGTTCTAGGTAGGCTCTGGTTCCGATTTCGGTTCTACTCGCAGCTTTCTGTTCTACCCGCTACCCATGCTCACCCTTTATATATAGTGTTTTATATATGCATTTACAGGCACATTCAATGGGCAAAAAAGACTAATTTGTGAGCTGATCAATTACAAGTTATCATGCCGGGGTTGCAAGATTGGGTTGTAATTGTAGTATTACCCTTTTAATATTAACATATATTTTTATGTTTATCTTTTAGTCATTAATTCTCTTACCTCAAATCCGGTATTGAAGGAACTCTTCCTTTGTTTCATAAGCAATGTTATGTTTACAACTGAGTCATACAAACAAATAAAAAATAAAGGACAGAGTAGTTATTTTACATGAATTTTGTATAATTTTTGTCTGTTTGTATGACTCAATTGTAAGCAAAATATTATTGTTGTTTTATTAGTTTTAGTAGTCGAAAGATCCCAATAACATAATTAGAAACTTCATTATTTTGTTTGAAGACAATGTTGTTGAATATCTTTCGTGCAAAAATCTTTTTTGTTTTTTTTTTTTTTCCCTTTGATCGAACAGTAAATAGGATAGATCATCCCACCTTTGTTCATTGTATATATATGTAGTGATCCTAAATCAATTAGGTTACCTTCATTTGGATATAAATTTCATGATACAGAAATGTAAGATTACAAATATGAACAAGATGATCTTCTAGTATTAAAATCAAAACTTATTTATTATCTAATTACTAATTGTCCTTAAAATTTAGCTATTAAATTAACAATTACTCTTAAGTTAAACAGTTCAACCGTTATTGTAATTAATATAATGAAGAAATATACATCAAATAACTTTAATATATGAACAATAAATGAAGATAGACAAATATAATGGAAGTAAGATTACAGTACCTTAGAGAAAAACTTCAATTAAATTAAATGATTAACAGCTAATACCAACTAACTTTGTAACATCAGTAATTAATTCCATCCACAAATAGACATTTATAGATAGTATAAGACGTAGCCAACTCATAAATGATAATCTTCTTAGAACCATTTATTATCTAATTACTAGTTGTTATTTATTTATTATCAACATTTATCATGCTCACCAACACCATTTAATATTTGTTTGAGAAAAAGTTACTTTTCCTACTATGCCAGCTTGGTCTGCTTGACGAACCAAAACCAACAGGTAGAAAATAAAGAATTGAAGAAGGAGGAAAAAACATACTCTATTTCTTCTTGTATTATTTTATTGAATAAAGAAGACAAATAAATAGGTAACCAGGGTGAGATAATTCCGGAAAGAAATCTGTCTTAAAGGAAAAAATAAAAATAAATCAAGAAGATTTGGCAATTAGGAATTCAATCTTCTGGTAAAAGGAAAAGAATAATTAAGAAAATAAAAAACTTCTAAAAAAAAGATACACTAGCTCATACATAACAAGGAAACAAAACAACCAAATAAACACAGTCAATTGCTTGACTTTCAAGGCTCCCTCTCAAGTTGATGTATAGATGTTGATTATACCAAGTTTCTCTACAAAGTCTTTGAAGTTGGCTCGAGCAAGAGTTTTTGTGAGAATATCTGTAGTTTGATCGGTTGTCGGAGTGTAGCTAACCTTAAAAATTCCTTCTTCAATCTTTTCTTTGATAAAATGTCGATCTATCTCCACATGCTTAGTTTGATCATGATGAACCGGATTCTTGGCTATATTGATGGTGGCTTGATTATCATAGTATAATTCATAAGATGCTCCAAGGTGACCTTTAATTCTAACAATAATCTTTGTAACCAAATTCCATCTCAAATTCCCTCTGCCATAGCTCAAAATTATGCTTCTGCGCTACGGGCTACAACTAATTGCTTTTTGCTTCTCCAAGTCACCAAGTTTCCCCACACATAAGAACAATATCTAGAAGTTGATCGTCGATCTGTAATGGATCCTGTCCAATCTGCATCTGAATAAACTTTGATATTTCTCTTAGAAGTTCTTGAGAA